TAAGTATATGGAGCACCACTTGGCAAATGGAATTTAATGTTAATAAATGCCATGTTATGGAATGTGGAATAGGAGAACATAGACCCCACACAACCTATATATTATGTGAGAAATCTTTAAAGAAAGAGATCTAAGGGTGGTTCTAGATAGAAAACTATCATCTGAGCACCACATAAAGAATATTGTGCGAGGAGCCTATGCCACGCTTTCTAACTTTAGAATTGCTTTTAAATACATGGATGGCGATATACTAAAGAAATTGTTCATGGCTTTTGTTAGGCCAAAGCTAGAATATGCAGCGGTTGTGTGGTGCCCATATCTTAAGAAGCACATCAACAAACTGGAAAAGGTGCAAAGACATGCTACTAAGTGGCTCCCAGAACTGAAGGGCAAGAGCTATGAGGAGAGGTTAGAGGCATTAAATATGCCAAAACTAGAAGACAGAAGAAAAAGAGGTGATATGATCACTACATACAAAATAGTAACAGGAATTGATAAAATCGATAGGGAAGATTTCCTGAGACCTGGAACTTTAAGAACAAGAGGTCATAGATTTAAACTAGCTAAACAAAGATGCTGAAGAAATATAAGAAAATTCACTTTCGCAAACAGAGTGGTAGATGGTTGGAACAAGTTAGGTGAGAAGGTGGTGGAGGCCACGACCATCAGTAGTTTCAAAGCGCTATATGACAAAGAGTGCTGGGAAGACAGGACACCACGAGCATAGCTCTCATCCTGTAACTACACTTAGGTAAGTACCGAGCAAAGAAGTGCCCGCAACCAAGGCCGGCAAAGAACCAGGGAACAGGTAGAGGCCAACAAGGAAACGAGGACCACGAACCGAAACACGAAGCGAAAAAAGCAACCCTGCAACCTGCAGGAGCAGCGCAAGCAGCTCTAGCAGGAAAGAAGGATGCATGCATCACCGAGGTATATATGAGAACTACCCAAGACGTGAACTGCATGAAAACAAAAAGAACGTCCCCGAAAGGAACAGAAAACAGGAGCCAGGACCATAAACCTATCTCTACCCGTCCCAACAAAAAGGAATCTTAGGGGCAAGAGTGGGTGAACGGAAGCAACACCCACCCGCAGGCAGTGCAAGCACCTCGTATACCACATACAAAAGATCAAACCCAGAGTATGCGGCCCCAGCATGGAGCCCGCACCCCTTTTGGAAAATGCAGAGGCAAGCCCTGAGGCTAAGCCCTAGAGCGAAGAGGCACAAGTTATGAGGACAGGCTGCGAGAATGCAACACACGACACGAAGACAGAAGAGGAAGGGGAGACTAAGAACACAACCAACAAAATTCTCAGAGGAAATGAAAGGATAGAGAAGGATAAACCGGTGAACGCGTGCGGTACGCAAAGAAAGGGACACAAGTGGAAACTGAGTATCCAAGGAACCACAGGGAAAGTAGAAAGAACCCTGTCAGTGTCAGAGCAGGTAACAGATGGAAGGCAGTAGCCAGCGGTGTGGCGGAGGCAGACACCAGACACAGTACCAAAGGGAGAGATGAAAGAGCCCAAAAGGCTCAGGAATCGGTACACCAGTTGAACGACAGTTGAGAAGCGGGACCCAGGAGCCAGAGCTCAACCCCTCAAGCAAAACTAGGGGAGGACAACCAGGCGAGGACATAAACTGACAGGAATAAGAGAGCGTAAAGAATACTGAGAAAAGATTCAGGTGCCGAAAGACTAAACAAAAGGCACCGAAGATCGAGGCTGCGTCCCACAGTATACTGACCAAGAAAAGCCACGGCAACTCACACAAAGTGGCCAAGCAAAACACACAACACCCACACCCCACCAAAATCGAGAACCAGCGCCCGGCCGACAGCGTTGCCAGACCACACAATTTCACCTGCAGAGCAGAGACACGACCGTGGCACACACAGTCGAGCCGAGTAATAACCAGGAGCATTGCTAGGGAAGTACGTCCAGAGATGCGTGCCCAACAGAAGCCGAGGTGCAGGGCAGAGGCAGAGGTGACACCACCCGGAGCCACCCCCAACACCTGTAATCAGGGAAAAGAATCGAGGTGAATTTCCCACATAGAAATCCAAAACACCCCCAGCATCAAGGGACAATGATCGGAGAGAGAAGACGAATGAGAAGGCGTAGAAAATCGTGAGACAGAACGCGGAACACCAAAACATGTACACCGCCCAAAAACAAAACGATCACCCTGGACCCTGAGCCCGAGGTACAAACCGCACCACCCGCCCTCCGGAGGCGCGGTTCGTACACCAGTCGTATGTACACATACCAGCAAGGAGTATGTAACGAATAAGAGGAACAGCAAGACAGGAAGGAGAGACGAAGGGAATACAAAAGAAGGCAAAAGACAATGGAAAGAAAACAAGGAGAACGGAAGTGGACCAATGAGTCCAAGAAGGGACCAGAGGGAACCAACTGAAAGTCAACAGATGTTCCAATAATATCGAAAGAATCGAAGAGTGTCACAAACCCTCGAGAATCTTACGGAGGCACATACGGGCCCAAAGACACCTTGACCAAGGGACATGCAGGGAACCCGATATGAAGGGAACATTATCTCACAAAAGTAGGAAAAGGGGTGAAAGTACCTCCAGGAACGAAAGAACCGACGGACCCGAAGGACATGGAATCGAACCCGGGGAGGGGTAAACCCGAAACCAACAGGAATGCAGAGAGGGAAGGAATAAACCCCCTTCAGAGGAACTGCCAGCCCCGCTCCTAAGGGACAAAAACCCCAAGCAGGGCCAAACGGGGCTAAAGCCCCCCCAGGCAACCCCTTCCCAACCCCGGGAACCTCCACAGGATGACCCGGGGCCAAGCCATCCCCCACAAGCCCCGGTCTCACAAGTAAAGCCGGGGGAGCCGGTAAACTCTAAGGAAGGGAGTCCACTGGTCAGACTCTTATGCGTGGCTGGAGGAACAGGCTCAAAGGCCTCCGCCGTCATACCGGAAGAAGAAAACCCCAAGACCGCCCGAGTCTCAAACACCAAAGAAACCCCGCAACCTCAGATGTGTCGGAGTCGGAAGCAAGGGGGAGGAACCAAATGCACAACCAAAGGAGAAGGACCAGGAGGGGCGGACGGAACCAGAGCCGAACCAACTCCCACTCTCTAGTCTGTGTCCCTATCACCAAAACGGGGCAGTCTCGGGGGATCCGGGTCTGCAGTCAACAAAGCGCGTTGCAGCAACCTAAACCCAGCCTGCAAAGTGGCTGCTGCCTGTACCCGCACATTACAATGAGTGGCGCGGGAAAACTGGAGTATGAACAGACAACCAACGTCACACGACTCCGGGTCAAGGAACCACCGACCTAACAGGCAGCATGGCGGAGGCAAAACCGGTGAGTGTCACCCTGAGACAACGGGACAGAGCAACCATCAAACTCGCAGGAAGCGAGAGGGGACTCAAGGTCAACTCCATTGGACCACAGAGCCCCCGTGGGGATTTCCAGGGCCCTTAGCCTTGTGTACACACTAAAGGAAGCCCAGGCAGGGTACTGCAAACTGGCGCCCAAGTATACCGAACAAACTGCTAAAAGCTGAACCCCCGAGACGTGTACACTTACGGGGGCCAAGTGGGAGATTCCACCAAGCGAAGAGAAGAACAGGGAGACCCTCCCACCAGGCAGAAAACAAAAACAAAAGAAAAATCCTCCAAGAGAACAACATACCCAGGTGGAACAGAGCCAGCCACTATAATTGTAGAAGATTAGCTGTGCAGTACCCCACGCCCCTACCAGTGACGAAAACAATCTCTTACCCAGAGACAAACTAGGGCAAAAAAAAAAAAAACAGCTGACCCCAAGGGTGGCCCAGTACTGAGCAGTAAAAGACACAGCGGAGGTAGATCCCAAGGTGACTTGGAAGGAGGGCCCCAAACCCCCAAGGGTAGTACTCACAGGGCACCTGGGGAAGGAAACCCTAGGCGCATGCAGCCCAAGTATCGTGGAATATCACTCCTGGATCACACATCACCTGTAGAGACAGCCCACACCACAAGGCACAGAACTGAAATAAACCTGACTGGCCAGTAAACCCATCCGCCAAGAACTGCCAGTTGGATAGCCGGCGTGGAGGGTCTGGGGATCCCCCTTCCTCCTCCCGGGGAGTGGGGGTTGCACCGATGGTGTCGCAGCGATGTGATGACGTCATGCTAGTTTGCTATTTTTGTTTAAGGAGTTCTGTTCACTTGTTTGGCTTTCGGTAGCAATCATTTCACCAGAATAGGGGTTTGTTTAAGGGCACCTACCTTTCTGGGTGCCTGTCCTGGTCGATGGCAGACATAGAATGCTCCCAACCTCAATGGGGTTTCTATAGGCCATTGCTCCTTGTACCTCTCTGAGGTGGCCAGGTTCTGGCTTGTGGTCCCCGGTAGGCAAGAACTCCATGCACCTTGACTGATGCCAGAAAGTTATACATATCCATTCAGCCTGTATAGCTCCGGGGAGCCATAGGAGCTCCCCCAGAAAATACGATCAATTTCATGCATAAGGAAATAAGCTGCCACCATGAGTTAACACCATTCATACAAGCCAGAGAAAAAAAAATATTAATATTACAATGTCTAGTGTTGTAACCCCAACTTATCACATCACTTGCATAAGCCATAAGTTTAAGCATCCTTCTATCACTCTATGGGCCAAATGATTTAGTTATACTATACTCCCATTCCCCATACCTATGTGCCTTAATATACCTACAATTTTCTCTCATATTTTTTTTCTTGCCTTGTAACTTATCATTTTTTATAAATTTTGCAAGTATTTACCTACTTAAAAATTTTCTTAGATTAAGGACCTGCCCGAAACGCTACGCATACTAGTGGCTTTACAAGATTGTAATTACCATATTATGTATCCTCACAATCCCAATGTAGCTTCTTGTATATAAATAAATAAATAAATAAATAAATAAATAAATAAATAAATAAATATCTTTTCAATATGATCGTGACTTCAGTAAAACAATTGCATGCTTTTATGAATCATTTGTAGCACTTACCTTCCTGTGCAATCTTTTGCAAGGACTGAACAATTGGTGTTGGAAGGTCAGTGCTGAGGACCTGGTTTTCCAAACCCAAGAAAGCACCAGCATCCTTTCCACATATATAAACAGGATGACTGGTTCGAGAGAATGTGCTCCATGTCCCATCATTTAAGGGCAAGAGAGGGACTTCCTGAAGATCACTGTAATTTCCATCTGAGACAACATACTCTAAAAGGCATGTTCGATCCCATTCTCCTCTGCCGGGCTTGAGTATTCTAAGACATTGCCTCATTTTTTTGGGAGTAACTGTCGCTGGTGTGGAGCCTGCAAACACATAAATCATTTAGGTAAACTGTGACCATTGTTGAATAAATTTCCAATTTATATTTAATATACTGTTTAGCCACTTATATTATTAACAATACTATATTTTTAATTGCTGTTTTATGATTTACTACATTAATAAACAAAGACAGTCCCCCCTTCACCAGGCAGGAAAAACAAAAGCAAAAGAAAACCCCCACCAGAGGACAATGTACCCAGGTGGTACAGAGCTGGCCACTATGAGAGGTGACAACTAGCTGCACAGTACCCTGCGCCCCTACCGGTGCAAACTACTGCTTACCCAAAGGCAAACAAGGGTACATGAAACACCCCAGCACACTAAGAGCGGGGTGTAATAACAGGATTACAGGATCACCTGTAATCGTGTAATTATCAACTGATTAGTATTATTACTACAATGTGTAATTTTTTTATAATTTTAAAAGGATTACCGTTAGGGCAAAATTCCTATTCCTCAGTCACTTAAACCTTCATTTTAATTTTTAATTGGTTATATGGAATACACATCAGTCATTCAATGTGAAGAAATGCCATTTTCTGGTGAGCTTCTCAGTAGCCCCCCAGTAGTTAAAGTACTGAGGCTGTCAAGTCATATGAATTTGCATGAGCCCTCGAGTCTACAGGGAGCCAGGACCACATACTGCCTCTCATTATGAGATGAGGGAAGCTTGGGGATCTGAGATCAACCCAATCAATCCAAGCATCCATTTGAAGGGAAATAAGTAACCCCCGAAGAAAACAAATAAACCATGTGGACAGTATAAACAGTTAAACAGACCATAAATTAAAAATGTTGACATATCTTGACTGTGGAAGATCTCATACAACGGTGAATAAGACCTTGCCTTGGGAAACGTCATTATTCGGAAGTTTTTTGTACACTCAAAACTAGATTTTTGTACTGTATTCCCTTCCCCTCTTTTAATAACACACAAGAGCATATGTTACCAGTCTCCGTGGTGCAGTGGTAAGACACTCGCCTGGCGTTCCGCGAACGCTTTGTCATGGGTTTGTATCCTGGCAGGGGAGGATTTACTGGGCACGAATCCTTAACTGTAGCCTCTGTTTAACTCAGCAGTAAAATGAGTACTTGGTCGTAAAAACGATTCTTCGCGGCGGGGATCGTATTCCAAGGACTTGCCCGAAACGCTACGCGTACTAGTGGCTGTACAAGAATCTAACAACTCTTGTATATATCTCAAAAAAAAAATGTTAATCACCAAAGCCACCTTAACCCATCAAACTTGAATTTCGTACAGAATTACCTTGAATTGTGCCACAAGACATCATTCATTATCCCTTACCCATTTTCATTCATTAAGAGGTCTACTCCCTCTGTATTCTTCTCATTCTTTTTTTTTAATGCCAGATCTTGTAATCCTTACATCATTCCATTCCTCATTCACACACCTAAGTTTTGCTTCATTGAAACCAAGCACCTAGAGTGCTCTCTAGAGTAGAGTACTGCTGCACAATGACAGCACCTTTCAAAGCTGGAGAAATTGCTGACCTGGAGAGCGTGCAGAGATCCTTTACTGCTAGAATCCACTCAGTAAAACATCTAAACTATTGGGACCGACTAAAGAGCCTAAAACTGTACTCCCTTGAGCGCAGGCGGGAGAGGTACATAATAATTTACACGTGGAAAATATTAGAGGGGCTGGTCCCAAACCTGCACACAGAAATAACATCACATGAGACCAGAAGACATGGCAGGATGTGCAGAATACCCCCGTTGAAAAACAGAGGGGCAACTGGTACTCTGAGAGAGAACTCTATCAACATCAGAGGCCCGAGACTGTTCAACACGCTTCCACTACACATAAGGGGCATAACTGGCCGACCCTTCACAGTGTTCAAGAGAGAACTGGATAAGCACCTCCAAAGGATACCTGATCAACCAGGCTGTGACTCATATGTCAGGCTGCGAGCAACCGCGTACAACAGCCTGGTTGATCAGTCCGGCAAGCAGGAGGCCTGGTCGACGACCGGGCCGCGGGGACGCTAAGCCCCGGAAGCACCTCAAGGTAACCTCAAGGTAAGGTAACCTTAACTTACCTTTCTTTCTTAACAACTTTAATCATTTCCATTCTCTTTAGTTCGTCATTTAATCCTCTCACATTCCACACAGCCATACATGCTTGATGTTGTTTATTAGAGCTCAGGCAGGTGTAAGCCTAAGGTTCAAGATTAATTCTGACCTCTGTGGTGAGAGGTTTAGGAAGATGGGCCCTCAGCTTAATACCCTCACCTGTTTACTGCAAGATATACTGGGCTGCTTATGACAAAGTGTACAGGACTTTGGACAACACAGGACACACCCCAGGCCAAACCAATCAAGCATTAATAACCCAAGAACCCCTCCGGAAAACAGCCGTCACGACCGTTGCCAGAAGGATGGAGAAAGGCTGCAGATGTACAAACCTACCACCAGTACCAAAGACCAGAAACCTGAACTGAAGGCGCTACGACACACTGAGGAGAAGATAAGAAGGCACCCTGATCAAGGACCAGGATGGCTCAGGCGACGCATGAGCAGGCCAGAGGTGAAAAAAAACACAAGAAAGCGTATGAAACGGGGCAGATGTGACGTTCACCCTAAACGAAAGCCGGAGCAGCTCCGCCAGCGCCGCACAAAATGAGGCGACAGTAAGAAACATCAAATAACTGTAGTCTTGAAAATCGAAGAAAGGACAAGACAACCCGATGCGAAAAAGAAGACAACCTACGAAGAGCAAGAAAAAAGTGCATAGAAACACCAGGAACTTCATACTGTCGCCGAGACAAAGCTCACAGATGGGACACAGTCAACAAAGCCACCTGATCACCACAGAGATGGGGATACCCGCGTCAAAATACTAGACGCAAAGAGCCGAGGAGAAGGACGAACCAGTCAGGTATATGACCGGTCCAACCTGCCGAAAGAGGCGGAGCGGCGGGAAAACACCCCGGGTTCGGACACCTATCAAGCAGCGTCTGAAAATAAAGCTGGGCCGGCCACCAAGGGACCATAAGGACTACTCTCGTGGGAATGGGCTCCAACCAAGCCAGAACCCAAAGCAACAGCTGGACCAGGAGAAGAGGAACAGGTACCCCCCCACCTCGACCAGTCCTGCCGAAAAGCATCCACCGTGCACGCCTCGCAGGCAGGTAAGGGCACCACATAGAATAGGCGACGCCTAGGGCACCTAGGGAAGGGAACCCTAGGTGCATGCAGCCAGAGTACAGTACTGTAGAATGATTCCTGGCTTGCACACCCCTGGAAGACAGCCACCACACACAAAGCACAGTGCCGGAAGAATCACTGGAGCCAGAGCACACGACCTCTGCCTCTAGCATTAGCCTCAGTATTAAGAGGTAGATTACCGGCGCAGGTGTCTGGGGCTCCCCTTCCCCCTCCTGGGGACGGGGGAGCTACACAGAGAGCGGCGCGGCAGCGTGTGACATCATAATCGTTTGTTCTTTTCTGTTTGGGGAGTTCTATCCACTTCATCGGCTTTTTGTAGCAATTTTCACCAGAATAGGGGTATGTTTTGGGATGCTTACCTTTCTGGGTACCTGACCCGGTCGATGGCAGACATAGAATGCTTCCAACCACACGGAGGTTTCTATAGGTTGTTGCTCCTCATGCCTCTTCTGAGGGGGCTAGGTTCTGGCTCGTGGTCGCCAGTAGGCCCCACAGAACTCTATATACATGACTGATGCCAAAGTGGTGATAGCCAAGGCTATTTGAACCACCACCCCGATGGCACTTTGATGGGTGGTGGTTCAAATATCCCAGCTATCACCACTTTTTGTATGGTCACTGACGGTCAAGTGGTTTAAGGCACCACATATATATATATATATATATATATATATATATATATATATATATATATGTATGTATGTATGTATGTATGTATGTATGTATGTATGTATGTATGTATATATATATATATATATATATATATATATATATATATATATATATATATATATATATATATATATATATATATATATATATATACACACATACAGTGGTACCTCGCATAACGAATTTAATCCGTTCCATGTTCGTCATGTGAAACGGACGTCATACAAAATGAGTGTCCCCCATGTAACCAGTGTGATGCACTGTGTTTATTGTGAAATTCCCCCAGTGTGCATGACATCAAATGTTCCCCAAAATATCATTTTTCTTTCCAAAATGATAAATTACCGTCCCTGAACATGTCTATGTAAAAATAATTACCAAATTCCACTTACTTTGGCTGTGAGGGCGTGGACAAGGTGTGCTGTGACGTCATCAGGGGCTGGTCGCCCGTGTGTGAAGCTCCCAGACACGGTCGCGCAGGCCATTCAAGCACCGCGTGTTGCCACAAATATATTTTCAAATATTTTTTCTATACATTTCCAATGCGGTTTTATTTGTTTCTTTTATCGTATATGATGCATATTTGTGACCTTTACAATATGTATACAGTAGAATGTTCATAATTTTCCATGAAACTGTGATACATGTGTCAGTAATGTGTCCACAATAAATGTTTATTGTCACAATATTACGTGGTATAAATTCACTAAAATTACAATACTGTATATACAGTTTCACATACTATTTACACAGTAACACACTGTATTACACACTCAGTACTTTGGATGTGCGTAATAGTCAACGAAGTAGTCCATGGTACACAGTGCGACTTTGCTCTCCTTGCACCAGCTACAGATGGATTTTCGTTTCCTGTTTCATCGTTCTGTGTGCTTGCAAATAACGCACTCACGTGCACCCTTGGCTTTAGTACTTGTAGGTGGTATGTAGCCAAGCTTGTAAAGCATAAGGTAGTATTGAAACGATTATAGGAAAAGCTCAATTTGTTAGGTAGTCTTGAAAAGATCGCTTTGTAAGGTCCCACACAGGAAGAGATTCAGCTAGCCTCAAAGAGTGTCCATCAGTCAGGAAGAGATTCAGCTAGCCTCAAAGAGTGTCCATCAGTCAAGAAGAGATTAAGGTATTCTTGAAAATATCAATGAACACCACCACCATGGAAGCCGCTAACACTGTTCATCTATGCTACTTCATCACTAAACGCAGAAAACGATTCATCTATGTATCATCTATATAAATTCGAGATGGCAAAGGTGGGGCTCAGAGCTACAACTGGATATGCTCGCTGTATCATCCTCATAGGTGCTGTATCACTGGCATTCGACCGTTGTGTTAAGCCCTTATTGCGCCTAGCTTCACCAATGTTATGACCCTTATGGTCTTCAAACAATAGGGGTCTGAATTGCACCGACTGAGCGCAGTCTTTCAACACCGTGTGGGACAGGTGTCTGGGAGCCAGAGGCACATGTGCTACAAATGGTTGCTCACGCAGTACTAACCCAGCCAGCAGCCCTTGTCTTTCATATTCGTTATAGCAAAAAGTTCGTTCAGTGTTTGTTGGGTAGGCTGTTCCATTATAACAATCTTTCTTTGTTTCAAATGTGTGCCATTTGTTTTGTATTTGTCACTTACGTCTCAATAATGGAGCAGCCTACCCGACAAACACTGAACGAACCTTTATGGCATTTGTCCATTTTTCAAATTGTTTCAACAGTTCTTTTATTTTTTGTTTTTTATTTTTTTTATTTAAGAAACATGGAGCAGCCGACCTGTAGACCACCGAACGAACCTTTTTGACATTTGTACTGGTTTTCAAAATTCTTCATTTTTTTTATTATTTACGTTTTTTGTATGTAAGAAACATGGAGCAGCCTACCTGCCGACCACTGAACGAACCTTTTGCTATAAGACAAATGAAAAATAAATATTGAACACATTTGAAGAAAGGAAAATGTCATAATGGTTTATTCAGTGTATGTAAGGTAGGCTTCTCCATTATTGAGACGTAAATGACAAATAAAAAACAAATGGAACACATTTGAAACAAAGAAAGATTGTTATAATGGAGCAGCCTACCTGCCGAACACCGAACGAACCTTTTTGACATTTGTTGCATATCAGACATTTCATTTCTTTTTTCCTACAAAAAAAGTCAATGCTTTGCAACATCTCAGCAGTCACCCCTTTATATCCCAGCATCATTAGCATCTTTAAACAAGTACAACATTACTTATGTGCATCGTCGGAGGTGTCTAAGAATTTGCAAGAAGCAGCGCGACCCCACCATGTGGTGTTGACGTTACTCAAACTGAGTTGCAACTGAAAATATGCAACTCATTATGTCCGGTCGTGATGGTCAAGTGAATTAAGGCGTCTTGTACATACCAGTTGCGTTGCTCCCGGGAGTATGGGTTCGAGTCACTTCTGGGGTGTGAGTTTTCAGTTGCATATTGTCCTGGGGACCATTCAGGCTTGTTCGCATTTGTGTTCCTCACGTGTGCCCCAAAGAATGAGGTGATTTGGTAAAATGCTATGCCCAAGATTACTATCCGAGTGCCGGCGGTGGGGTGGTTCAAATAGCCTCGGCTATCACCTCATTATGTCCGGTCGTGATGGTCAAGTGGATTAAGGCGTCTTGTACATACCAGTTGCGTTGCTCCTGGGAGTATGGGTTCGAGTCACTTCTGGGGTGTGAGTTTTCAGTTGCATATTGTCCTGGGGACCATTCAGGCTTGTTCGCATTTGTGTTCCTCACGTGTGCCCCAAAGAATGAGGTGATTTGGTAAAATGCTATGCCCAAGATTACTATCCGAGTGCCGGCGGTGGGGTGGTTCAAATAGCCTCGGCTATCACCTCATTATGTCCGGTCGTGATGGTCAAGTGGATTAAGGCGTCTTGTACATACCAGTTGCGTTGCTCCTGGGAGTATGGGTTCGAGTCACTTCTGGGGTGTGAGTTTTCAGTTATATATATATATATATATATATATATATATATATATATATATATATATATATATATATATATATATATATATATATATATATATATATATATATATATATACATATATATACATATATATATATATATATATATATATATATATATATATATATATATATATATATATATATATATATATATATATATATATATATATATATATATATATATACACACATATACATATTTCAACTTAATAGTTTCAACTTAAAACTATTACAGTACAGTTCATAAAAAGAAACTAGGGATTTTGTATTTAAGAACTTACCAACAGAGCAGAGAGATCCCAAAACAGTATCAGGCACAGAAGCAAGCGGGAAATTTTGCTCTATAAGGAAACATCTAATGCTGTTAGACACATGCTGTGGGCAGGAGTTTAGAGAGTTATCTGCAAGAACATCCTCTGGTTTCATCATGCAACCTTTTACCTGTCAGGATAAAAGTTTATTAATTATGGGAACTAATTCATGGAACTAGAAATGAGGGACTGGAAGAAAACACATTCTGCTACAATAGTCTTTTTATACAAGAAAGTTATCTATAAACAAAGCCCAATAAAACCAACATTGAATGTAATGAAATGCCATTTTCTGGCTGAGACCCGGAGGCTCCCCAGAGCTATACTGGGCTGATGTGTATATATTAGACCGTGGCAATAGTCAATCGAAGGAGTTCTAAGCCTACCGGGGACCAAAGCCAGACCCTGGCCCCCCTTAAGAGAAGCACGAGGAGCAATGGCCTGAAGACACCCCTGTGTAATTGGAAGCAGTCTTTGCCATCTGCCAGGTCAAGCACCCAGAAAGGCAGGAATCTCAAAACAAACTACTGCTGATCAAAAATTGCAAACCGAAAGCCAAACTAGCAAACAGAACTCCCCCAATTAAAAACAAGGAAACAAACACGACTTCACCACAAGCACCGTGCATCTGTCTGCGCAAAGGGGGTCCCAGACCTCAACCCTGGCAACTCTCCTCAGTTCAGAGGCTGAGTATCAAAAACGTGAAAAACCACCAACCGGAGAGAGGGAGGGATGCCGGGGAACCTCCAAGTCTCACCCAGAAAATAGCGTTTCATTACATTCAATGCTGGTTTTCTGTGGAGAGCCCCTTTGGCTCCCCGGAGCTACCTAACCAAAAATAAGAAGAAAAGGGACTCACCCGGGAGGCGGTGGGCACTCGCTCCTTAACTCAAAGTCGAGACAACAGGCTGCAACCTGCGACCCAAGGCTATACATGCCCGAGAAGGACTAGGAACATTAACAAGGTAATGTGCAGCCAGAACCCTGTTCGACCTCCAATAGCCCCCGTGCCCAAAAGATAGACCAGGACATTACCAAAACAACATCCGAATGCCGAACTTATGCACAGCGTGGGCAGGGAGAAAGACCACAAGCTAGCTGGACCGAATAATCCTGCGAACAACCTGGGAGGCCCGTGTCCTGGAATAGGGAAGACGGGAAAACTGGCTCAACCCAAAGCGCGTCCTCTGCCACAGAGGCTGTAACACGCAAATAACGGCAAAGAGCCACAGACACAAAACATGAGACACCCCCAGCTGAACCAAGTAAGCATCAACAACCCAAGGACCTCTCCAGAAAGCAGCAGACTCATTCTTCGCCAGAAAAGAAGGAGACGGCTGCAAACGAAGAAAAGACCACCAGGACTGAAAGAGCAGAAACCCCTGTGCCGGAGGAGAGCATGAAACTCTCCGACCCAATCCCCAGATGCCAACACCGACATAAAAAAAGTCATAGAAAAGTCCGGAACCGAGGGGGCCACCCCCAAACCAAGGAGAAGGGAGCAGAGAGCACTCGGTGCCACGACCAGGACACCTCAGGTGGTGTATGAGCAGGCTGCAGGTGAACAACGCCCAAGAAAGCTTGCGGAACGGAGCAGAACTGACATCCACCCCAAATGAAAGCTGCAGTGGCTCTGCCAGTGCTACCCGAAACGAGGCGACAGTATCTGGCATAAGAAAACGGTCCTGAAACAACCAAGAGAGAGAAAGGACAAAACCGACCAGAAATTGAAGACAACCTACAAAGAGACAAGTGCCGAAAAGACCGCCAGGAAATTTCGTACTGCTGTCGAGACGAAACTTGCAGGTGGAACACCAACTAAGCCACCTGATCACCATACAAGTGGTGATAAACCCGCGTCAAAAAGGCCAGATGCGAGCAGAGAAGATCGAACCAGCCACATACTGTACTGGAATGGTCCAATCTGCTTAAAGAGGCAGAGCCACAGGAAGACCCTCGGGTTCGGACATCGAGCAAGAGGCACTTGAAACTAGGGCTGGGCCGGCCACCAAAGAGCCAACAGGATTACTCATCTCTTGTAAGTCTCTCTAAGTTAACCAGGACCCGGAGGAAAGAGGTACAGGTAACCCCAGTTCGACCAGTCCAGCCGAAAGGCATCGACCCTAATGGCCACGCAGTCTGGGAAGGGCGCCACATACACCGGAAGACGCCTCGACCTAGTTGATGCAAAGAGGTCCACCTCAAGGTGCCCGTACGTCCGGCAGAACCAACTGAACGAGTCTGTGTCGACCGTCCATTCCATGGATAGGGGAATGAACCAAGACAGGCCATCTGCCAGTACATCACCATGACCTAGTTAAGGCGTGTGGACACACGAGGTGCCAGATCCAACTGGAAGGAAGGCAAAGAAAGCGGGCGGTGTCACTCCATGACAAAGCTGAGCCAGTCCCTGAACACCGAATGAATCTGGACGTGCTAATATGCGTTCCGGAGGTCCAGAGACACGTCATCCAGGTGCCAAAAGCAGCCAAACCCAAGACAGAGTGGTCAACTGAAAGAAGGGGCAAAAGACCCATGGGATCACACAGGGCAAGTCTAGTATGAATCGCAGATCTGCCCAGACAGGCAGATCTGACAGATCAAACTGAAGACAGGCAGGAAACCCATTGGTTGATACCTGGTTGATGGGGTTCTGGGAGTTCTTCTACTCCCCAAGCCCGGCCCGGGGCCAGACTTGACTTGCAAGAGTATGGTCCACCAGGCTGTTGCTCGGAGCGGCCCGCAGGCCCACATACCCACCACAGCCCGGTTGGTCCGGCACTCCTTGAAGGAAACAATCTAGTTTCCTCTTGAAGACGTCCACGGTTGTTCCTGTAATATTTCTGATGCTCACTGGTAGGACGTTGAACAACCGTGGACCTCTGATGTTCATACAGTGTTCTCTGATTGTGCCCATGGCACCTCTGCTCTTTACTGGTTCTATTCTGCATTTTCTTCCATGTCGTTCACTCCAGTACGTTGTTATTTTACTGTGCAGATTTGGGACCTGTTCCTCCAGTATTTTCCATGTGTATATTATTTGGTATCTCTCTCGTCTCCTTTCTAGTGAGTACATTTGGAGAGCTTTGAGACGATCCCAATAATTTAGGTGCTTTATCTCGTCTATGCGTGCCATATATGTTCTCTGTATTCCCTCAATTTCAGCAATCTCTCCTGCTCTGAAGGGGGAAGTGAGTACTAAGCAGTACTCAAGATGGGACAACACAAGTGATTTGAAGAGTACAACCATTGTGATGGGATCTCTGGATTTGAAGGTTCTCGTAATCCATCCTATCATTTTTCTTGCTGACGAAATACTTGCTTGGTTATGCTCCCTAAACATTAGGTCGTCGGACATCATTATTCCAAAATCCGTGACATGCTGTTTTCCTACTATGGGCAGATTCGATTGTGTTTTGTACCCTGTATTATGTTTAAGATCCTCATTTTTGCCGTATCTGAGTACCTGGAATTTATCACCGTTAAACATCATGTTATTTTCTGCTGCCCAATTGAAAACTTTGTTAATATCTGTTTGTAGTTTATCAATGTCTTCAGCAGAGGTAATTTTCAAGCTGATTTTTGTATCATCTGCAAAGGATGACACGAAGCTGTGACCTGTGTTTTTGTCTATATCTGATATGAGAATAAGGCACAGCAGTGGTGCAAGGACTGTGCCTTGAGGTACAGAGCTTTTAACTGCGCTCTGACTCGATTTTACTTGATTGACTGTTACTCTTTGTGTTCTGTTCGACAGGAAACTGAGTATCCAGCGTCCTACTTTACCAGTTATACCCACTGACTTCATTTTGTGTGCAATCACTCCATGGTCACATTTGTCGAATGCCTTTGCAAAATCTGTGTATACGACATCTGCATTATGTTTTTCCTCTAATGCCTCAGTGATTTTGTCATAGTGGTCAAGTAGCTGTGAGAGGCATGATCTTCCTGCTCTAAATCCATGTTGGCCTGGATTGTGGAGGTCATTGGTTTCCATGAATCTAGTGACCTGACTCCTGATCACTCTTTCAAATACTTTTATTATGTGGGACGTTAGTGCAACTGGTCTATAATTCTTTGCCAATGCTTTGCTACCACCCTTGTGTAGAGGGGCAATGTCTGCTGCTTTAAGCGCATCTGGTATCTCCCCTGTGTCCAAGCTCTTCCTCCACACTATACTGAGTGCCTGTGCTACTGGCACTCTGCATTTTTTTATAAATATTGAATTCCATGAGTCTGGACCCGGGGCTGAGTGCATGGGCATATTGTCAATTTCTCTTTCAAAATCTGTCACACTCGTGTTGATATCAGTTATATTTACAGGTGTTTGAGTATCATTCATAAAGAAATTGTCCGAATCTTCCACTTTCATGCTGAGTATCGGAGTGCTAAACATGTCTTCATACTGCTTTTTAAGGATTTCACAAATTTCTTTGTCATCCTCAGTGTATGAACCTTCACTAATACGAATAGGTCCAATACTGGCAGTGGTTTTCGCTTTTGATTTAGCATATGGGAAGAAATATTTTGGGTTTTTCTTTATTACTTGAATTGCTTTCTGTTCTAATTGCCTTTCTTCAGTCTGATAGGAATGCTTCAGTCTCTGTTCGATTTCTTCAATCTCCCTGTTTAAATTATTTCTTCTCTGTATGGAGAGTCATGTCTGCTTAAGCATTTCCGTTAATTTCTTCCTCCTTTTGTAATGTCGTCTGCGTTCTCTTTCTACATTGGACCTCTTTCTGGCTTTCCTCAAAGGAACATGTTTCAGACAGACTTCATATGCTTCAGACGTCAGTTTTTCTATTCCCTGTGTAGGATTTTTATTACTTAGAACATTTTCCCATTGAATGTTTGTAAGTTCCCTGTTTATTTTCTCCCAGTCTATCCTCTTATTATTAAAATTGAATTTATTGAATAGCCCTTCTCGCTTGTTGTGTCTCTTGGGCCTACTACCGTTATTAATGTCAGTTTGCACTTCAATGAGCTTGTGGTCCGAGTACGTAGTGTGTAAGACAGTAATGTCTCTGATTAGCTCCTCATTGTTCATGAATATCAGGTCCAGCTTGTTTTCATTCCTAGTTGGTTCTGTAATCTGCTGACTGGTGTAATCCACTCCAGGATGACCTGACA